AAAGAATCTCTAACCTGACCTCAAAGTGTGTGTGTGAAAGTGAAATAAACAAAACTTGGCAGGAATTCAAACCTGATTTTCCAATTCTGTTTTCTAAGTTGATAACCATTATGCCACATTGAGTTTCTGTGTACACACACACACACACATTATAAATAGCAGGAATGCCATGTACACGTGTGCATAGCTATGATTGATTGGTTGTATATTCTATTAGAACCATTACACTCAATAGAGCTACTAAGTTTTCTATGTGCTGTAGTTGAGTGACAGAAAACATTTGATCTGTGTATAACTTCAGGGCAGTTTTAGTTTTTCTTCAAAAGTGTAATTTTTTTGTTTTGTAAAATTGGCTTTCATCTTGAGATTTTTTTTTTTTAATAGAAAATTTTAAAATTATAATTTTAAAATATAACCAAATTAAAATGATGTTAAAAAATACTTAAAAAAAAATAACAAAAAGAAATTATTGAAAGACATGATATAAAATTATATATCAGAATAATAGTGGGTAAATGAATGACAAGATAGATATTTTATTCTGAGAAGAAACTTCTTCAGGCAAATAGCAATTCATATTGATGGAATCTATCTTGTATATAAAATGTTTTGGGGGAATATGACAGACAGTAGTGGCATTTAAAGATGTGAAAAATATCATTATATGGTTAAATTAGAATACTTACTGTTGGCAAAACCTTCATGTCTCCATCAGTAAGGTGTGGTCAGGAAAAGACAGACTTTCAAGGTAACGAACGGGAGTTCAAACCTTGTCAAAGGTTTGTCCTTGATTTCTAATCTCTGCTGCATGTTTAATGATTGTAAAATAAAAACCTGAGAGTTTTGATAAAAAGTAAAAGAAATAAGCAACTAGGGGTTAATAACTAGTGCCAACTTTGTAACTTAATTTTTTTTTTAAATAAACATGTTGGTGGTTGTAATATGTGTGGGCATATGTACATAAGACAGGTATTACTTTCACTCAGTAATATTCTATCATGTGGGAGATGGAGAAATACTAGAAATGATAGTTTTAAATGTCTGCAGAGTCATAAAGACTTATCAAATATTATTCCTTTTTAACTTTGATTTGTTTCTTCTTTCTTTTTTGTTACTCTCCAAAAGACCAGGCTCGCCAGAGTGAGGGATATCAAGTCTTGTTAGAACCTTATTCTTATTTTTGATCTGTATCAAAGGTTTTATCTTCAAGTCATTTTCTTAAAATATGATTTTGTATGAAACTAAAATCTGTAAATACATATTATTGGAACCATGCTTGTGATGTAATGGAAAGATTGTTAATCTTGCATCTCATTAATAGCAGTCTGATTCTAATACAAATGGTTTTGTGCTTGGGTTGGATATGTCAAAAGTTTAAAAATTGGTAAAATCCTCCTGTTTATCTTAAAGAGTAAAATTTCATGAAGAAGTTTGACTGGTGAGTTATTAATAGTTCAAGTATCAAAAAGCTGTGAATTTTACATGTTGTAAATAAATTTGCATCTTATTTTGTACAGGTTTCTCTGATTTTGTATTTTTATCTTTTTGCAAATGTATTAGGTTGGCCAGAAAGTCTTGACTCACAAAGCAGAAAGAAACAATGATTTTATTGAGCAATACCAACATTTATTCTTCAAAATATAGTCCATCATTCTTGATGATCTTCTGTTGATGAACAGCCTGCATCTGAATCTGTCCCAGATACCAGTCCACTGGCTTTGAATCAAAAAACTGTAAACAAGCTTCCTTCACTTCAAAAATGTTGAATCGCTGGTTGTGGAGGAAGTGTGCCATTGAACAGAAAGGCCAGAGTCACTTGGGACTGAATGGTGGATATGGAAGTATCTCAACACCGTCCACCTTTTTGAACATCTTTTTAGTCAATATGGCAGTGTTTGGCCTCACATTGTCTTGCTGAAACAATGCTTGACCTTGATTGACCAAAGCAGAATACTCCTTCTTTTGTCGTACACACAGTCTAACAATACAGTTTAACATTGATGGCTCAATCGTCTGGGACAAGCTTGAAATGTAGTATTCTATAGAAATACCACCAGACAGAGATCAAAATTTATTGTTTTTCTTTCCGCTTCTTAAGATGTTCTGACCAACGTTGTATTTAAAAGTATTCTTCTAAGGTTTTAATTTTAGAGATACATATGCAGGCACAAGCATAAATATATTTCTGAAGTTTGTCTAATTATTTCTGGATGGTATTGTGGTCGTTTATTCCACTGCGGTTATATATGTTTACATGGGATTTGTGAGGATAAGGCAAGTATGGTTTGTCAAACAACATCTCTCTCTCTATCATTTATATATATATATATATATATATATATATATATATATATATATATATATAATTCATTATGATGTAAATCCTGTAGTGAAAGAGATAATCAGGTACCTCGGAAAAAAGTTTGTGTTTTGTGTGCAATCTGCTGAAGAAGGATTACCAAAAAGTAGTCAGCAAAAATCTTATAGCGAAGAATACGGCGACTTACCTCGTCAACCCAAGTGATAGCGCATCGCGTGTATTCTGTGACGGAAAAAGAAATAAGTCCGTCGCAGGAGTCGCTATAAGAGGATATTGATATGCAAATTATGGAGTATCCTATCCCAGCTGTCGACAAATTAAAAAAATAAGGTTCTACCGATAAAAGCAGTTGGTGTTCTCGATTCGGAGGAAGGAAAATTCGGGCATTTTTGGCTACGGCGTTTGTTGGAGTGTGAGTTATTTTCCTGACTGGTTACACGCATTGCGATTTAAGATAGTACCGGCGAATCGAGTTTTCAGCATTTCTTTCTGTCCCCGATACTCGAGTCTGTACTTAGTGATTTTTCTTTGTGTTGTGAAAGTAATCTGCGACAAATTTGCTTTGAGAACGCTTACACTTACAAATCTCAAGGGCATCCACAGTAAATTTACAACATTTCACCATTCCTGACAGAAATTCTCTTATCACAGTGTGGGATATCTACTAACAAAAGTGATGGAAAGAAAGAAAAAATCTAAATGAAATTGGCTTGATTAAAAGAAAAAAAAATTCCAGCATCCCTTGTTTGTGTGCATGTGTAGCTGCACCAACGTAACAAATTTAGTCTGAAATCCTAAAGGACAAAACATGTCACAAGAAAACATTGTCATACATTTTCCCCAATATCATTCTTGATACATAAAAATGAATAAATAAATATAATTAATATATAAATATAAAAGTGAACATTGAAGTCAACACTCAGAGGCGAGTGGCTGTTGCTTCAGGCCTGACGATTGCATCTAGCATGAAACAGCCTGTCGCCTCTGAGTGTTGACTTCAATGTTCACTTTTATGTTTATACGCTCTATCTCTGACATTGAGCACTTTATCCCGTAAATATAGCACACCTTAAAACTATATTTCTTCATTCATATATAAAATGAATACACTTGTCTAGATACTAAGCTTACTTCTTGAACTTGGCTACATAAAAGGCAAGATTGTATTGTCAATCTTCTTAATGAGGAAAGGTTTAACTTGTAAGTAAACATTTAAAATTTCACTTTCACTTGGGTTTGAACAATGACCTTTGATACTGATGGAAAATACCTCATAAACTTAACTAAATAGCAAGCCTTCACTTTACTTCAGTGTATAGATAATGTAGCTCACTGTAAAGGCATTGGGGTACCCTACATATGAGTATGTCTCTGGCAAGACAGCCTAACAGAGCCAGTCTCTCTTCTGGCTAGTTTTGAATTCAGTTGTCTTTCTCTTAGATTAGTTGTCCTACCAAAGCTAAAAGTCACAGCTTGCCTTACTATTTCATCCAATGCTTGGGAGAGAAGAGAGATGGATTCTTTCATAAGGACATTAGTGGGAAGTGACTGCAATTGCCTTGGCCAGAATTTGAATTTAGTTCACTGATTCTTTTTTCTGTATTGATAACCATTGTGTCAACCACTTCTATATACATAATAAATATTCTCCAGTGTTATATGTATAAGCCTTATCTACTTCCTATGACTTCTGGATTTCAATATCATTAAAATATCTACATATCTTCCCTTGGACTAATAATTTATTTTTAAAAAAGATATTTTTGTTTATTTATTTGAATAAATAAATTAAAAAGGAAGAGATTGTAAATGACAGTATTATGGAACTAGCCCTCTTTTCTCTGTTATCTCATTGGTTATAAACTGTGGAAAGAAGGTTGATTTCTCCTTGAATGTTTCATGAATATGGCTTTCTTCTAACATTGGCATTGTCCAAGAAATATTACACATATAAAATAAGATTGTAAGGGTTCATAGCTCTCCACGACTTCCTTTTTCTTGCTCAACAAAATAATTCTTGCTCTTTCCCCACTCCCCATATGGTTATTGTTCTTCCATCCATTTACTTACTTATCAAGTAGGTTATTCAATGTTTTCTACTCTTTCTCTTGCCTTCAATAAGTCCTATGAGTGTTAAATTCTCCAAGTTTTCTTTCCACATTATTTATTCTAAAAATATGTTTAAATATTTATATCATTAAAACTGACTATATTTTTGATTTATTCATATTTTTTTTAAACAGTACGAAATATCTTTTTGTCATTTTTTTCTTTATTTTCTCCTGAAGAATTTTCATTGTTTTATTTTTATGTTGCTTGTTGAGATTGAATGATTGCATCATTTGAATTCTCTTTCAGAATATTAGATCAGAAAACTTTCATAAGAGATTTGAGAACTATAAATTCAGAATATTGAAACAGTTTGTTGAATATCATAAGACATGTGTATTAGTGTAGGAAGAGAAAACTCTGTGAGTTTAACATGGTTGTTAGCTTGTTTTGAATCACTTGCAACAGCAGAAGTTAAGAATATAGAATGAACTTCATGTAAGGAAGAAGCTCTTCATTGTAAAGCAAAATGCTGCTTCGGGAAAAGTTTAGGGAACTTACATTCATTTTCTAATTTTTTTTTTTTCCTCCAGATTTATCCAACTAAATGCAAGTCCTTTATCAGAATATGAACTCCACCCTGTTCTTTAGGTTTCTTCTTGGGTAAGGAAAAGTTGAAAAAATATTGGGTAAAAAGAGAATGATAGAACAAGAGAAGAAAAGAATGTAGAGAGGAAAATAGGAAAAGAAAAAATGAGAGAGGGGTAAAAGTATATCATAAGAGGGAGAGTGAGTGAGAAGCCAGTGGGAGAAATTAAGAGGATGGAAGAATGAAAAAGCGGAGATTAATGACAGGGGAGGAGGGTGAGTAGGAAATAGGACAGGGAGTGGAGAAGAAAGGTTGATGTGCAACTTTGGTTGGAAGGGTAGGTGGAAAGGATGCTGATATTGTAAAGCCAGAGGTTTGTTATCACAGAATGTCTATTTATATTGTACCTGCCACTATTTTTCCATTTTGTCTGAGACATTGCAGCCATTGCCTTATGTTAGCTGAAAAACTATTTCGGGAACAGAAATACTCTCTCATATATACACCTGTGTGTGTACGTGTGTGTGTGTGTGCGCACACACACACACACACACATATGAATAAATCCCCCACTATGCATGCATGATCATGAGGGGGCATTGAAAAGTTCTTAGCCTATCCATTTCCCAAAATCTTTATCAAACATTAATTTTTTTTTTTTTTTTTTGAATTAGATGGGCTTCTTGCTTGGGCCCAAAACTTTTTAGCACCCCCTCATACATATATGCCCACTTGTTCTCAGAGATTCCAAGGCATTTTCCCCATCACAATGTTTTTGTCTTTCTTTCATTATCAAACTCTGGTGGTGAAACCTGTCTTTGATAAAACATTTTCCAGTTTGTCTCATTATCTTCACTTTTGTTTAAGATATGCTATTATACATAATATCATCACTTTTTAACATTCTCACTTTTATTTTTAATTTATTTTATAAGCGAAAAGCACATAAAAAAAAAAAAAAACACATAATAAATATTTTCATTCAAGATTTTTATCCAAAAATTGACAGAAAAAATAATTTTCTTGCTTCATTTATTAAACAAAATTAGTTCTTACAAACATATTCTAATGTTTTTTGCATTTAGGAATAAATAATACAAATATCTAAATTACAACCTTCAAATTTCATTTTGGTTTCATTCACAAGTTTAAAAAGAAGCATTTTAGTTTTGTGTGCAATTGTCTTCTGACTGAAAACCTGCTACAATTGGTGGGAATTAAAAATTAAAAAAAAATTATTTTAAGAAATTAGTTGCTTTAGAATAGATATAAAATTTTAATGAAAAATTTTGGTATTTTCCCCAGAAAGCTAATCAGTCATTCTTAACTAATATCCTGTTTTTCCAAGGATGACTTTGGGTTCGACTAATATTCTCCAAATGCCTTTGTATATGATGAGGGATGTATCAAAAGTAATGCAACTTATTTACTTCCATAGAAAACTGCAACAGATACATGCAATGCAATAATACTAAATAAAAAAAGTTTTCAAATACAAAACACTTTATTTTATTTTTTTTTCCAATACTTTCTGGGCATTTACACCAGTGATGAACAAGAACCTGAAGGCTGTGCTTGTAAATGTGGCTTATTTATTGCCACAGTTGAAATGCATTATCCACAACCTAACTGTGCTTGCATTCAGTGCAATTTTTTTTTTCTGCCTGCAAAAATTCAATGATATGTTTGTTTCTCATGCACTTTCATTTCAAATATAATTTTACCAGACTGCTATCTATAATAAACGAAAAACAAAAGAATTATGGGTTGTTGATGGCAGGTTCAACCTGCACTGGCATATTATCAGAATCTGTCTCTGTTGTGGACAAACATAAAACAGAAGATATAAGCCAGGTGTAAATACATATTTTAATGAGTAAGACTGCTCTCATACTTATATGCAAATTTTGGTTGATATTAAAATGTAGACATGAATGTATTTACAGTTTTATATATATATATATATATACACTGAAAATAGTATGTTTGCTTGAGTATGCATTTGTGTACACATAAATTGATCATATGACTAAACAAAATATTTTCTTTTTTAAATACTTTCAACTAAGGACTTTTCAGCACAAGCACATATATATATATATATATATATATATATATAGTCATTCTAATGAGATGAATATGCTTATATTCATCAAAATAAATTTATTACTGACTATGGATTTTTAAGGCTTTTTCCTAATTATTCTTATAATTTGCCCTGTATCATACATTGAGCTCTCATACAGACTAATCCCTACCAATTACATTTTGGTATTTTTATATATATATATATATATATATATATATATATATCAATATAGTCTTAAGGTGTTCTTTATAGGATAAAATGCTCAATATCAGAGCATGTGTAAATATAAAAGTGAACATTGATGTCAACTCTTAGAGGTGACAGGCTGTTTCATGCTAGATGCAATCATCAGGCCTGAAGCAACAGCCTGTCGCCTCTGAGTGTTGACTTCAATGTTCACTTTTATATTTACTTAAAGCACACCTTAAGACTATATATATATATATATATATATATATATATATACATACAGCAGTCTACATTGCTACCCAGGGTTCCGACTTGTTGAAACCCGGGTAGCAAGGCAGACTGCTTTTTAGTGTTTTCATAAATGTTTTTGATCTACATTTTCTATTTTAAATTTTCGTATTGAGCACTTTTTAGCATTTATACCTTTTTAGCTTTGGCAGTTTTCAGCCTCCCATTACAGTATATTATTTTATATTATATATTACATACACACACACACACACACACACACACACACACACATATATATATATATATATATATATATATATATCTTAAGTCTATATGCTATATTTATGGGTAGATGTGCTCAATATTCTGGATAGAGTGCATGCAAATATAAGAGTGAACACTTAGGTAAACACTGAGTGGTGATGGTCTGTTCTATGTCATAGTCTGAAGTTAGTGTTCAAGCCTGAAGCAGACTGTCACTACTCTGTTAACTTCAGCTTCTACTTTTATATATGAATTTGTGACAAGAATATATTAGATTTAGAAAGAGATGTGTATGTGGAGTGCTGGGAAATCCTCTGCTTGACCATCTAAAAATATGACTAAATACCAGCTTTATTTTTTTTTAAATTTACTTAAGGGGTTCTTGGTCAGGCTGATAACTTTTCAGTACTGCTCTTTTTTTTTTTTTGTGTGTGTGTATGAGAACACATACATTCTTGAGTAAATTATGTGTAGGTTAAAATAAATAGAAAAATAAATATCTACTTTTTCTTTCAATGGAAGGACACACACACCAAACTTCTAATTTTCTTTTCTCTTGCCAGCCAGGGACTTGGAAGTAACTAGTTATACTTGGAAGTTATTTCATCTGGATATATGTGTATGTTTTTTTTTTTTTTTTTTTCAACTTGGGGGCTCCTCGAGATAAAAAATACTGGAAGACAGGAGCCCCTATTCTTTTCTATTTTGCTTGGAATAGTCGACTATGATTAGTTTTTAGTTTGCCTTACTATCCAACCTCATTCTTTTAATAAATTGATCCTTGCATTTTACCTTGCTTATTTTACATTCATTTTTTTGTTTTCATCATTCATTCACTTTTTCTTCATTTTATTCTTTCCCTGTTTTTCTTGATTTCTTTGACTATTTTTTGTTTTATTCCATTTTTTCTCTCTTCTCTCTTCTCTTTCTTTTTCTCCAGTTTTTCTTTCTTTTTCTTTTTCTCCCTTTTCTCTTTTTCCCCCTTTTCTCTTTTTCCCCCTTTTCTCTTTTTCCCCCTTTTCCCTTCTCTTCCTTCCCCCCTTCTCTTCTCTTCCTCTTTTTTCCTCTTCTTTTCTCTTTATTTTTTTTCTTTTAATTTTTTAATTATTTTTCATGTTCTTTCTTTTACTTGCTTGGTTACACTAACAGAATCAGGCATTCCTGAGAAGTGCACAATATTTTTGTGCTTGAAGAAACTTGAACAAGGTTTTTTCTTTTTTTTTTTTTCCTTTTTGATCAATTTTTCTTCATTTTTCTTCTCTTTTTTTCCCCTCCCCCCACAATTACTCTTTTCTTTATTTATTTACCATATTATTACTTTTATTAATTTTTTTTTTTTAGTATTTGTTTTTCTTCCTTTTTATTTCCTTTTTTCTTTTTTCTTTTTATTTTTGTTTCTCTTTTCATAGCCATTTACATGAAGTTGTAGGATAGTGATGATGATGATGATGATGACATTGCCTAACAATTAAAAAACAGAAGGAAATTTGGAACTTCCAACTAGAAAATAAAAGGCCAAAATAAATAATAAAAGAAATAAAATAAAAATATTTTTTTTCTTCTTTTCGCTCCCTCAGCTTACAAAATATAATTTCATCAATACTTACTTTTTTTTTTTTTTTTTTTTTTTTTTTCTCCTCTCAACTCTCTTCCAGTTGATTTTGTTTCCAACTCTTTTTTTTTGTCTTGCTATTTGGGTATCTACCTATAATTCTTATATTCTTTCTCCCTCTCTTTTTCCACATCATGTTTTCTCTCCTCCCCCACACCTACACTTGCTCACACTTTATTGGGGAGAACAGTGTGTACACACTGGCTTAAAATTGTGGTTAATTTGTAAGAAAGAAGAGACAAAAAGCAATGCCATCTTTTTGGCAGGCAACAAATCATTATCATACGTCATGGTACTTCTTACCACTTGCTGAAAAAAAAATTATTGAGCAGAAGTAGTAACATTCAGTTTCTCTTTCTATCTCTCTCTCTCAGTCCTTTTCACATCTCACTCTCTCTCTCTCTCTCTGTCCTTTTCACATCTATCTCTCTCTCTCTCTCAGTCCTTTTCACGTCTCTCTCTCTCAGTCCTTTTCACGTCTCTCTCTCTCAGTCCTTTTCACGTCTCTCTCTCTCAGTCCTTTTCACGTCTCTCTCTCAGTCCTTTTCATGTCTCTCTCTCTCAGTCCTTTTCACATCTATCTATTTAAATCCTTTTCACATCTATCTATCTATTTAAATCCTTTTCACATCTATCTATTTAAATCCTTTTCACATCTATCTATCTATTTAAATCCTTTTCACATCTATTTAAATCCTTTTCACATCTATCTATCTCAGTCCTTTTCACATCTATCTATCTATCTATCTATCTCAGTCCTTTTCACATCTATCTATCTCAGTCCTTTTCACATCTATCTATCTCAGTCCTTTTCACATCTATCTATCTCAGTCCTTTTCACATCTATCTATCTCAGTCCTTTTCACATCTATCTATCTCAGTCCTTTTCACATCTATCTATCTATCTATCTATCTATCTCAGTCCTTTTCACAGCTATCTCTCTATCTATCTATCTCAGTCCTTTTCACATCTATCTATCTATCTATCTCTCTATCTATCTATCTATCTCAGTCCTTTTCACATCTATCTATCTAAATCCTTTTCACATCTATCTCTCTCAGTCCTTTTCACATCTATCTATCTATCTATCTATCTATCTATCTATCTATCTATCTATCTATCTCAGTCCTTTTCACATCTATCTCTCTAAATCCTTTTCACATCTATCTATCTATCTCTCTAAATCCTTTTCACATCTATCTATCTATCTATCTCAGTCCTTTTCACATCTATCTATCTCTCTATCTATCTATCTATCTATCTATCTATCTATCTCAGTCCTTTTCACATCTATCTATCTCTCTATCTATCTATCTATCTATCTATCTATCTCAGTCCTTTTTACATCTATCTATCTCAGTCCTTTTCACATCTATCTATCTATCTCTCTATCTATCTATCTATCTCAGTCCTTTTCACATCTATCTATCTATATCTATCTATCTCAGTCCTTTTCACATCTATCTATCTATCTATCTATCTCAGTCCTTTTCACATCTATCTATCTATCTATCTATCTCTCTCAGTACTTTTCACATCTATCTATCTTCATGTATTTAATATAAGGATTAGTTAGAGAATATATTAGTTTATACTAGCATTCTATGTACCTTTTCTCTATATCTCAAATTACTTTTCACCTATAGTGTGCATGTGTTTTCTGTTGAATTTAGCTGGCAAGGTTTGTCTAATAAGTTTTTAGTGAATTTTTCTAATCAGCCAATGAGTTGCTATGAAACTGGATCAAGGTTATTAAGTAACTCTGCAAAGTTTGTAGTGTTTTTCTTCTTGTATTTTTGGCCATCACTGGTCATTATCAGCAATGGTTGTCAGTTTAAAATTTAGAAAAGTTCTGATTTAATTAATTCAAGACTCACTTCAAGTTATATGCTGACTTGATAACTTCACTAAAATATTAAATAGGCAAATAAATCTTGTTTGAATGAATAATACACAACCACTGGAGTTGATCAGATCTTTTTAATACATTTGAATATCTCTCTCTCTCTCTCTCTCTCGCTCTCTGCAAATTTGTTTACATACTCTTCTTGTTTCTTTTCTACTTTTTATCTATCCTCAAATCTTTATCTAAAATTATTTTCATTCTTTTTTTTTTCTTCTCCCTTTATATTTCTGTGTTTGTTCCAATTTATATCTTAATCTATTTCCTTTCTGAATTTTTGTTTTTTTTTATCATGCCTTATTTCCTTTCCAACCTTAGAAAAAGATAATAATAGAAAACTGTGGTTTGCTAAATGTTTGTATTTTCATGATAATTAATCAATGTAGTAACTGGGGAACACTTATTGTAAATCATTCATATATATATATATATATATATATATATATATATATATATATATATATATATATATATATCTTATAAATCTGACACTTTAGGTTCATAGTTATATATATATTGTGGCTGTCCTCTCGGTTTTGAGCGTAACCACCTCCTTTATTTCATGTCCTCCCCCCCTCCCACTCCCCTCAAACTCTTCAGGCCAGCCAAACTGTGACAAATTTTGCCACAGAATTGGCATACTCGATAAGTTTTGTTTACAGTGACATTATTCGGGTGCACACTAGGTTTTGCACATTTACGCAAATGGATTTTGAAGCCGGCAAAAGATAGGCACAATTTTCCGCATATGTCATAATTAACGTGGTGAATTTGTGGACCGGTGCTGAACCCTGTTCGCCTTTACAAATCAGACGTTTGTAGGCACTGTACTGCATACGGCTATTCTCAAAGAACTCAATGCCTTCGTGAATTAGTTTCCTCCACTTACTTCTATCCAAAGCCATTTTTTCCCATTGGTCTACAGATAGTCCAGATTGTTTCAGGTAAGATTTTATTGTGTCCTTAATCTCTTCTTCGGCTTTGATGCATCTCTCTTTCCTTCCCACATTTCACCATAGAATTGTTGTTTTTGCCTTCCATCAGGATGGCTGATTCTAACCTCCAGGTGAATGAATCATTGCATCTTCTTGTCCAAACACCTAGCTGAAATGAAGTGGAAAGATTATATTGAGTCAATTGCTAACTTGGCAGCTAGAAAAGTAGGTTTACTGTGTCATGCTAGATAATGTCTCTTGCCTGAATCTATCTTATATATTTATAAGTCTACCATTCATCCATGAATTGAATATTACTGTCACATGTGGTCTGGTGTTTCTGCTATGTAGTTAGTTGCTATGTGATACTTGACAAAATCCAAAGAAGAATCTGCAATGTTATTGGTTCTGACCTGGCATATCAACTTCAGGCACTTTCCCATCACTATAACATAACTTCCCTGTGCCTTTTCTATAAATATTTTCCTGGTAATTGTTCGGATGAACTTTCCTCTTTAGTATCTAGACTTTATGAATTTAAGCACAGTACTAAATTGGCAGCAAGGTTTCATCATTTTCCAGTCGAAATGCCTGCTAGATGTAAGTTCTATGACAACAGTTTCTTCTTTTGCACTTATGGAACTCTCTTTTAGCTTCTTGCTTACCATTCAACTTTGACCTTCAAAAATTTAAATGCAATGTCAATCATTATTTTCTTTTTAATTTCTGCCTTTTAATTGTTCTCTCTCCTTAATACTGTTTTTTTTCTTATATTCTCTCACACCCAGTAACCCCCTTGTGTCTTAGTAGCTTTATTGCCTTGCTTGAGATGAAATTATAAAAAAAAAAAATCCAGTCATGCAAAAACACTCAATTAAATAAACTAATTTTTCATATTACTCCAAAATTGACCTTAGAAATATTCATTTTTCAATATTTAAGTATTTAGATAAAAAAGAAAATCAACACTATTGTTTGTTTTGAGAGAACCAATTAAACCTTGATTTTTTTTTTTTTTTTTCTAATCTTTGAGATTAGTTCTTGAAGAATGGCCAATTAATCGTAAAAAAGAAACAACTGTATGGATAAAAATTACATGAACTTTGCAGTCATTTGAAAAATATTCTATAGATTAGAATTTTTAAAAATTAAATATTTAAAAATTATGCATTTTCACAATATCAATGCTGAGATGTTATAATTTTCCTTATAACAGTTCTCTTGTAATTTCAGATGAGTCCAGGGAATTTAACTCCTGTGTGTGTGTGTTTCTTTTATGTATGACAAAAGCAGGACTATTATCTCCAGTTATTGAAAATTCATAAATCATATTTCTAAATAATCTTAAGTTTCAATCTTATTATATAAATGTCCTTTTATATGAAAAAAAAAAAGGAAACTTATATAATTAAAATAAATCTTTTGCTAAGATAAAATCCAAGATCAAATATAAATATAATTTGCTTGAAATATTTTTTGTAATAAAAGTAATGATGTAAACTGTTGAACATTTTGTATTTTCTTGGCAACGTTTTGTGCGTATGCGGTTTTTCTTTTTTGTTAACATTTTGGTTATTGATAGAAATTCATTTAGATCCTGACTCTGTCTTCTCTCTATTTTTCTTTTTTGATTACTATTCAGACAATTACAACTTTTAATTAATGGTGTGAAAAAGTTTTATCTACAGAATTGTAATGTCTAATTAATAATATTAAATATTAACTGTGACAAGTCAATTTGATATCTATTTCAGAATCTTACTATGATAATAGTCAATTGTAATCAATGATATATGTTAACATGTTTAATTTTATTAACTTTTTAGGTCTTTACCATTTCAATATTCACTGGTGACAATATTTCTAATTTAAAATCCATGTCTTTAAAATACAAACGGTGCCAATAGTCATTAATTAGCAAACAAAAATGTGTTGCTAATTTTGTGAATAATTTGGGGATATTCGTTCACATTTTTATATTTTGAGGTTGAGATAAGTAATCATTAAAAGTTTAATATCAGAATATTAATATGTGAAACCTTTGCAAAATTCACATACCTTTTTGCTGTTCAGTGTTTGATTTTAGTGCAGTCACAAACAAATAGTTTTAGAGTCTTTGCTATATTCTTGGATTGTTTCTTGAATCAAATGATGATAATGGAGTTCAATTTTCTTTGTTGCAAAACAATCACTGATAAATATTTTTCATTATCCTTTAGGAGATGTCCTTTTCTCCAGTCGTTTTGTTATATTCAATGTTTTTTGGTTAGTGATGGATTTTTTTGTTGCAATGCATTCATTTAGACTATTTCTCTACAGTTGCCTATGAACTAACACTTCACTAGTGATAATGCTTTAATTCATTACTTGAAAGCTTTTAACATTAGGTTGGAAACTGGACACCTGACAAGATTTCTTTGAACTCTTTTGTCTAATTTCCAAAGTACATTAGTCATTTTCCTGTTCAAATCTTCCCCAATGCCCTTTTCCGGGTCACTAAGACAAAGCACCTCAATATTCAAAACTTCTTTGGTAGTTGACTCATTCATTGTAACATTTCCATGATCTTCATCCTTGTTCTTCCTATGATGAAATTTAAACTATGTATACTAAAAAGTCAAGATGAATTCTCCAAAGTATGTGATCTTTGGTCCATTTAGCATGAGAAATTTGCATATTTTAATCTGAAGCTCTTTGGGAGCCATGTGACTCATAACTATTGCATACCCTATTTTCAGTATCACAATGCATTCATATTTTTATCTCACTTTAATGCAACAATTTGTGTTGCAGTCTTGAATGCAGTCCTCAGATACTAAGTCTGTCAAACACTGAGCTTTTATGTAAAAATTAGATAAATTATTATATATTTTTTTTTAGCTTAATGGCTTAGTTCTTTTGCATGTCACTATTGTATTGTTAGAGATTAAAGATTAGAGGAAAGAATAAAACATATGCACAATTGATCAGACGCTGAGAATATGAACAATGTCTTACCTTAAAGTGCACATTTGTTTCAATTGTATATCAAATGTATGCCTTCAAATTGACAATTGTTAATTTTTGAATTTACACAATGTATGAAACAAGAATGTCTTTTTTGATGAACTCCTGAAGAAGGCAACAGTATTAATTTGCACCTATTTTCTTCTTGCAGTGGTTAGAGATTTTTAGCTCCAACAAAATTGGAAGACATTAACAAAAGTGGTTTTGAAGTAGTAAAAAAAAAAAGAACAAGACACATAAGATGTGCTTATGAAGTGGGTGGGTGGTTTGTCAGAGATTAATATTTGTTTCATCTGAAGTTTAGGATACTAAGTTACAAGATATGATGAATTGTTTTGATAAAAACTGGTTAAAAAAATACAGATGAAATATAAAGTACTCCTACTAATATATATTCCTACTTAACTGTATGCATAATTGAATATGTTAGAGAATTGAGGTAAAGATACTTTGGGGCCTGTTTCAAAAACGCTACATAAGTCAATGTTTGAATAATTTCATATAAAGAAAGTTTTTTATTTTTAGATTTTTCACTCTATTCATGATTTTTAATGAACATATTTAAAAAACAGTTATTAAAAGCTATACACATTTTCCTTTACACCTTATGAGGTATGTGTAATTTTGTTGATATATCAAAGAAAGAAATCTGAGAAAAATCTGGAAAATAAAAATCAGTAATCATAAAATAGATTTAGAAAAAAAGGT